TCAACGGTGTTGTACCGCAGCTGTCAACCATGTCACATGGGTAGTCACATGACTCAACAAGGAACCGAACAACATCGGTACAACCATTGAGTGCTGGAACACACAATTTCACAGTAACCAGAGGGAGATTGAAACACTGGGAAACAAGGCAAAGTTTTAAATAATAATCTCTCTAAATAGCATTGTATGTATACCTGCTGTGTGAAGAGGTGTTCTTCCGTTCTTGCTCACAGTGTTCCACAGCTGAGCATCATGGTGAAGCAATAGTTGAAGAATCTCCACACGCCCTTCCCTGGTGAATACAACACAGCAAATACCATAATTACATTCCCTTGCCAGGAGAATACAACACATGATATATATCATCTCCACACTCCCTTCCATGGTGAATAGAACACAAGATATATGATCTCCACACGCCCTTCCCTGGTGAATACAACACAGGATATATGATCTCCACACGCCCTTCCCTGGTGAATACAAATTACAACACAAGATATATGATCTCCACACTCCCCTCCCTGGAGAATATAACACAAGATATATCATCTCCACACACCCTTCCCTGGTGAATACAACACAAGATATATGATCTCCACACTCCCTTCCCTGGAGAATACAACACAAGATATATGATCTCCACACTCCCTTCCCTGGTGAATACAACACAAGATATATGATCTCCACACTCCCTTCCCTGGAGAATACAACACAAGATATATGATCTCCACACTCCCTTCCCTGGTGAATACAACACAGGATATATGATCTCCACACACCCTTCCCTGGTGAATACAACACAAGATATATGATCTCCACACTCCCTTCCCTGGAGAATACAACACATGACACACACAATTCACTCTCAAACAATCCCTTTTAATGATACACAGCATAATCAGCACTGGTTATAAATGACCAACAGCACAAATATACTCATGATTAAGACAACAGAGCAATTTAAACAGTGGACTGTTCCAACTAGGGTGTTTGACGTTTCGTGTTCAGAGCGTTCAATCCAAACTGTGGTAGTACATATTTTATATATTTTTCAATGAAAGCACATATCCCCTGTAATAATGGCACAAATGTCAGACAAAGATCATTTGTAAGCCTTTCCTATGGTACTAGTGACAGACAAAGGTCATTCGAAAGCCTTTCCTATGGTACTAGTGACAGACAAAGGTCATTTGAAAGCCTTTCCTATGGTACTAGTGACAGACAAAGGTCATTCGAAAGCCTTTCCTATGGTACTAGTGACAGACAAAGGTCATTTGAAAGCCTTTCCTATGGTACTAGTGACAGACAAAGGTCATTTGAAAGCCCTGTACTCATGGTACCTGGCTGCAATGTGAAAGGAGTTCCATCCATCCTTGTTCCTCAATGCAGGATCAGCTCCCTTTTCCAACAATGCTCGGATAACTTCAGGATTTGTCTTTGTGCATGCCAGCATCAGAGGTGTCCTTCCATGGAAAAGAAATAGATTTAAAAACACATGAAAAACAATAGTACAAAAGAATGCAGACTGAAGTGAGAGTACATATCATAAAACAGGGTGTCACCAAAGTAGATATGGTGATGTCATTACTCTACTAAGTACAGTGAAGTAAGGAGTCGAACAGAAGCCCTCCAATAGTTTTCAACTGAAGCTCATCCTCCAATTTTTGATTGTCTTACTACAGATGGTTATGTTTATGTCATCATCTATTATGACTTTTGGTATTCGTACGCAGCAGAGCATCTTTACAAAGAAGAGACACTATAATATACACATTTGATTTGAGAGTGTAATTTTAAATGCACATGACTGCATAAAAAGAAGCTCTCATAATTCTTTTGACTCATACACAAACTCAAAAACGACCCTCCAGGGTCTGTGGATGTGCATATTAGATTGACATTAGTTTAGTACATATTTTTGGATTTTTGAGGCTGGATATGGTCTGAAAATTATGTAGAGCTCATTCTGAGCCTGATGCAAAAATATTTGTGACATTTCAGACCATATCCTACACTAAGACAAATAATGCTAAAACATTATAACAATTAACATAACTCACATCTTGCTCTGTGTATTATTATCTATCAGTAACAATGGTAAGATTTAACAACTTTTTTGGACTGCATATGACAGTTATGTATTGGATCACTGTTATCAACAGATAAATGGTGACTGTTTATATACCACATGAGTACATTGACATTGTTGACTGTACTTATGTCAACAGAGAACCAACAGAGAAGTGAATAACCCACGGTGACTCATGATACTGTAGCAGGACTGCGTCAGTCACGCACAGACAACAGACGCTACTTTTGTTGTTCTTCAATGGCTGATGTTTTATTGGAGATGTTTATAGGTGAAAACAACAACCCAGGTGTGTGGGCCTAGGTTTATTTCACACCTGGGGACACTGCTGTATCTGTATTAAATGTTCGCCTTAGAATGTGATCCAAAGATATGTTAAGAAAATCCACATGGAATGTTGCTCATCTGACGATTGAATGTGGAGTGACCACAAACCTTGTAATGTGTAAAAGTGTAAAGCTTAGCTGATTGCCCAAGCTGGCTATAAAGACAAAAGAACGTAGGTGGAGAAGGGCTTATGTTATTGTGCTGTGTGGTGAACATGGGTGCCAGTCAAATCTCCCCAGCTACAAAAGATCGCCCCAGGTTTGGTCAAAATGCCCCAGATTTTTGGTCAAATCGTCCCAGGTTTGGTCAAATTGCCCCAGGGGGGTAGTCAAAATGCCCCAGTGTATTTAAAATGATTAAATATATGCCATAAATGCATAGTTTTTGTCAACTTCCATATTATATACTTCGCATAATATTACATAGTAATATTTCTGATAGATTTTCTATAAGTAAACTGATAAGAGCAAAAGTAATATTCATGTATAAACAACACTATAATACCAATTATTTGCATGTTATTAATGCTTTTGTAAAGAATTACAAGAATAAAATGAAATGGTTGTATAAAATGTTTATTGGCCATAAATGCATAGTTTTTGTCAGCAAGTATGGTATAATGCTTATAAAAACAATCTAGAGCTTTTGTTAATTAATCTTGTCAAAAAGTGTGTATATTACAGGCTATTTAAATCATGTTCACTAATTGACATTCAATGCTGTGTTTAGTTAAAGGAAATGTTGAGGCTTGAATGTATGAGCATTTCAGGCTATAAAAACATATTCACTAATTGACCATCACCTATCGAGATTCAAAAATGTAATTTTGAACTATTCTAATATCTACAGTCATTTTGACTTAAATTTCAGTAGCAGATTTTGTCTAATCATACATTCTCGTCTCCAACTTGAATGTAGTGACCTTAATGCTCACAAATATGAAAGATTTATATCTCCGACATCATCTTGCTCTTGTGGCCATAATTATGAAGACTCTGCTCACTAGTTCTTTTCATGTACTCTTTACAACAATATACATTAAATTATGTATTTTTATACTAAAATCAATTTTGTTTGGAAACCAATGCTGCTCCTCAATAGTAAACAAAGAACTTTTAATTTCAGTGCACTCTTTTATAAATTTAACAGGCAGATTTGATCCAAAATATTTTGTTTATTTGACATATACCGCTTAACAATGATTGGCGTTATTTCTCATGTTTGCAACATTTATATATCATGCACATTGTACATTCATCATGACGAAGTTTATTCTTCCTTCTATTGTATCCCAGAGCTGTATTCATATAAGCTTATGCTTGTTTACCAATCCGGTTCCTTTCTTTGGAAATAAATATGTTTAAATAATAAATATTATACCATACTTGTTATGATTACATAATGCCATTTGTTGACAAAAACTATTTACAGCCAATAAACATATTATACAAACCTTTCATTTTACTCTTGTAATTCTTTACCAAATAATTGGTATTACAGTGTTGTCTATACATGAATATTACTTTTTGGTCTTATCAGTTTACTTATAGAAAATTTATCGAAATATCACTATATAATATTATATATAGAATATAATATGGAAAATGACAAAACTATGCAGTTGTGGCACATATTTAACCAATTTAAATACATTGGGGCATTTTGACTATCCCCCTGGGGCAATTTGACCAAACCTTGGGCGATATGACCGAAAATCTGGGGCATTTTGACCAAATTGGCTGGGGCATTTTGTAGCTGGGGCGATTTGACTGGCACCCGTGAACATGCGGTAAGCATGCTCAGTGAACTGGCTGTGGGTGATAGTTAGTTAAGGCAGGCTAAGTATCATGATAAAATATAATGACTAAAGCTGTGCAATGAAATTTAAAGCATTTATTTACATGAATTCTAATCAATTTACAACATGTTAAAATATACAAAATCTGTTTCTGCCACAATACTAGGACCCAGATGAGTCAAACTTATAGCCGGCCTCGTTCCAACAGAGAACCAACAGACCTTAGAAAAGAACCACTACTGATGTTTCCGCTTACCAATCAGCTCTTTTAAGACAATCAACAGTTGCGCCATAATCTAACAAATATTTGACAATATCAATTTGTCCATTTTGGGCGGCTTCGTGAAGTGGTCTTTGCCGTCAAATTAACAATTTCAGGGTTGCCACCTTTCTCAAGAAGTAAATGAACCAGGTTCAAGTGACCATATCTTGAAGCAATGTGCAGAACCGAATCTCCCGATTTTTCATGTTTGTAACACATATAAGTGTCCGCATCATCACAAAGCTTGAAAAAGTTTTCATCGTTAGTTTGTGCAGCTTTGTAAATATTAGACATTTGTTTAGAGTTATCTTCTCTTGTTCTACTTATCGCATATATCATGCCAACAAGAAAATGTTGCAACCACTGACATGGCGTTACAAAATGGCCCTCTTAAAAATATTGCAATTATCAATAATTATCTTGTCAATTGATCACCAAGGATATTTTTAGAAATATTATAAGCAAAATGAATGTTTATATTTGTAGTTGCTGTAGGGGTTACCACTAAGTAAAAATGGCTGAAAATGGCTCGGAAAAGAAATAAGAGCAGAACTTTAAATGTGTCCAGTGGCAATAACATCGAAAACATCGAGGGCTCAAGATCAGTCACCGACACAGAATCACAGGAAAACAGGCTCAGTCAAACTTACTTGGAGACAGAGAACAGTACCTGCACTTTTAGTGAACAAAGTTGTGTCGTGAAAGGACCCCAGGAATCTTGCCCAAGGCCAAATGAAACAGAAAGTAGAAAACACGTCGACTGTCTTTCCGGATATCATCAGTCTCTTGAAGTTCTGGCGACAGATGAAAATAGACGTAGCACCAGCGTAGGGGCTCTGTCCCTAAATACGCGAAAAAGAAAAATCCACCTGTCTACTGCAGACTGTCTTTCGCTGACACAATCGTCAAAAGCTCTGTCCAAACCATTCGAAATTCCAAAAAGTAATAAAGATCCAAATAGAGGCCTACAACCTAGATTTAGGAAGAAATCAAAAAGTGTCTGCCATCCAAATGACATTAAAAATATCAAATCTGATATTGAACATGTAGAAGAAGGTGGTTGCAGTTTTCCAAACGAAAATGTTAATGAATCGACAGCACACTCTCCTGTCAAGAAAGGCCCGTTTGTCGAAAGTAGCTTTGAACATTCTGTCATATCATCTTTAGGATCTTCACATCAGCAATCAGGATTTTCAAAGGCTTCCAGTTTAATATCCAGTCAGCCAGTCAAGACTGAAGTAATAAGAGACCAGGAAATACATCAAGGCTTACGCTCGTCTAGTCAACCTAGCAGTAACTTTACAGCAGCATCTAGTTTACTTGGACTAACAGCATCCCAGTTGGAGACAGGGGGCTTTCAGTCATCAAAAGGAGCTGTGAACAGTATATACAAAAGGAGAAACAGTAAATTGCAACGCGCAAAGGACAGTGCAGGACCAAATCAGAAGAATATTTCAAGCTTCTTCACCAAAACAACGTCACCAGTAAAGATTAAGATGGAGACACGTAACAATATTGAGGAGGAGGAATGAAGAGTTTGTTCCGTTAACATACAGAAGCCCATCAAAGATGTATTCTCCAATCAAACAGATGTCAGGTGCCATCTACATCAATGATGACAGCAGCAGTCCACAGTCATCACAGTCAGATAATTATGGACAATCTACAAAACATAAGTTTCAGGAGAATACTTTTGTGAAAAACTATTTGATGGTCAAAAGCTCTGGCAGCAGGACAGCCATTACCAAAGAAAAGAAGAACGGATACGAGTCGTACTCCTCAGTCCACTGTATCAGTGTGTTTGACAAATGCCAAACCAAACACATCATTCTCAACTTTTAGTAGCAAAGATAGTAGGCAAACAACAGAGACAATATACAAGCAAACATATGGGCTGCTTGGAGAGGGTTCTGGATCAGCATTTGCAGATGTAAATTTGCAAAATAAAACTAACTATTTTGAAGTTCTGCCCATTGATTTGATAGAACACATATTCTGCCAACTCCCAATTCTTGATTTGTGCCTGAACAGCAACAGAGTGTGCCAACAGTGGAATGACATTATTTCAGATAGAAAGGTATGTGACTTGGTGCTAACCAAACATGATGTTCCTTGCACTTAGTTGCAGCATTTACTTTTTATGAACAATACTGTAGGTGGTAAGGATAAAGTTAATATCTTATTTTATAGTATTCCAGAAACAGCTTCATAATTAACGAGTAAACATGGTACAAGTTATCATGGTAATCATGGTAATATGTTGGAAAAAAGACCTTGGTGCTGTTGTACAAAACAACCATAGTGCTAAGACTGTTGTAAATCTAAGACTGTTGTAAATCTAAGACTGTTGTAAATCTAAGACTGTTGTAAATCTATGTTAATGTATGAACTAGGATGGTTACAGTAATCCTCGTGTCAGGATTGCGTTATACAATGGCACCCAGTTAAAATTGTTTGCATTAAACCCTTTAGAATTAGTGAAATGAGTAAACCTATTTTATAAACAGTCTCATCTTTCCTGTGTTCTATCACATTTTCTTCAGTTGATCAAGATAATGATTACTGAAATATCATGGTGAGTTTGAATATGTTATGTTATGTTATTGAGCAAAGGCACAGATATAACTGTCTTCATTACATTCAATAACTGTCACCAAACTAGTAATTCAGATTAACATATAATCAGAATAATTAACATAATAAGTATTATTTACAAATCCTTAGCAGTCATAGTCAACAAGGTTGAGGAATCTGTCATATCTTTTAGCAATATCATATTTAGTGTATTATGTTTGTTTAATGTCTAACTTTGAGCTTGCTTGAGCAATCAGGACAATTTGAACAAAGCTATATTATCATGGCTACTATGAACTCAGTTGATCATGTTCATATGCATTTAATATGTAGAGGTTGTCATGGTTGTGTGTTTTTTATGGTAAATGTCCTGTATTAGGAATAAACATTATATTTATCAACCCTAACACATATATTTGTAGTTTGTGCCATGGAAGAAGAAATACCACATGCTGAAGAAAGGCTATGGAAATACTCTGACTGAAATCAAAGGGATAATGGCCAGTGCTGGGATGTCTCTGCCTTCAATGTATCTTAAAGGATTGATACGGTTGGTATTGATAAGATAAGAAATATCTGAGCTATTGTGTTCTTAACTTCTTATGATTCAAGACGCTATGAAGTATTCCACAAGTTCAGTTGCAGTCTATAAAGGATTTCATTCGTGCATTCCACACATGTAATTTAAGTATGGTATGACGAGAAAAAAGCAAATTTGTGTGTAAGATATGTGTGCTTCAGAGTCTTCAACACTGGAACCACATCAACATCAATAAAGAATAATGTATGTAATCAGTAATTTATTTAAATATTACTTACAATACAATTACGAACAGTGCTTGATTGGTTGAAACAAAGACATTATGACCAATCTCATATGTGAGTGATTTTGTTAATTAAGTGGCACTTGACTCATCCATGGTCTTATGTTAGGTTTGGTTGCAATACACTCATCAAATTTGTGATGCTGGCTCTTCAGGCACATGAAGGACTTCAAGCCTGTGACAGCCAGCAATATGACCAAGTGCCTCAAGGCACATCCCAAATATGGTTGGGCCACTGCTCTGATCAGGGAAAGAATTCCTGAATGTATCAAACGTGAGGTAAGCATCTTCTTGTTGTGTAATATATCATCCCCAACATCATCCTTGTACATGATTCAACATTGGTCATGGTGAATACATTACACGTTTTATGTATAACAACTTCTTTTTATTCTTTGTGGAGTTGGTGGGGCTGGGAGTTATGTGGGTAGGCTGGGCAATTGAGCTCACATTATTAGTAAGAGTGGAGTGAGTTAGTCAAGGCACAGAATTGCTGGGGTGGTGGAAATCAAGTCAAAAGCTGGACTGTGGGTGGTGGTAAGTCAGAGCCTGGGCTGATGTGTGGAGTGGGTAGGCAAAAGTGGTAGACAAATCATTATTAAGGCAAGTGGTAGGTGAGGCTGGGGGTGATGTGAGTAAGGTAGGGTGGTGGTCAAAGCTGGACTGATGTGTAGAGTGGGTAAAGGTAGAATGGCTCAGTGATGTGTGTGATGTGTGAGTAAAATTAGTGAAATTGATGTGGGAGTGGATAGGTAAATTAAGGCTTTAGGGGTTAAGTCATGTGTTAGGAGAATTGGGGTAGAGTAAAGTCCAAGTCTGGCGTTGATGTGTAGGATGGGTAGGGTAAAAATTAGTAGAGAGGGACGTGTGGGGTAAAGTGAGGTAAAGTCCAAGGCTGGGGGTGATGTGTGGAAGTGGATGGGTAAGTCAAAGGGCTGGACTGATGGTATTGGAGATGGAATGGAAGTAGAAGTCCAAAGCTGGGAGTGATGTGTGGAGTGGGTGGGAAGTAAGAAGTCAGCGTGAGGGGTGATGTGTGGAGTAGGATGGAAGTAAGTCAAGGCTGGGGTTGATGTGTGGGAGTGGGTGAGTAAGTCAAGGTTGGGGTTGATGTGTGTAGAGTAGGTGGAAGTAAGTCAGACGTGAGGGTGTGATGTGTGTGGGAGTGGTAAAGGTAAGAGATCAAGGCTGGGGGTGATATTATTGGAGTGGATGAGTAAGTCAAGGCTGGACTGATGTGTGGAGTGGATAGAAGTGAAGTCAAGGCTAGGGTTGATGTGTGGTGGTAAGCAGTCTACTTGTAAGAAGTGCTGAGGCAGGTGGAAGTAAGTCAACGTGATGGTGATGTGTGGGAGTGGGTAAGAGTGAGTCAAGAGCTGGACTGATGTGTGGAGTGGGTGAGAGTAAAGTCAAGGCTGGACTGATGTGTGTGGAGTAAGGTAAGAGTAAAGTCAAAGTTGAAGGTGATGTGTGGAGTGGGTGGAGGTAAGAAGTCAACATTAAGAGGGTGATGTGTGGAGTGGATGGGTAAGTCAAGGGAGGCTGGACTGATGTGTAGTAGGTGGGTGAGTAAAGTCCAAAGGGCTGGGGTTGATATGTGGAGTGGGTGAAGCAAGTCAACGCTGAGGGTGATGTATGGAGTGGTGAGTAGAAGTCAACGTGAGGGGTTGATGTGTGGGTGAGTGAGTAAGTCAAGGCTGGACTGATGTGTAGGTAGGTGATGTGTGGAGTATAGTGAGTAAAGTAGAAGCCTGGGCTGATATTAATGGAGTGGGTGAGTTAGTCAAGGCTGGGGTGATGTATATGGCAGTTGAGGTAGAGTAAGTCAAGCTGGACTGATGTGTGGTGGTGGAAGTAAGGAGATCAACGTGAGGGTGATGTGTGGAGTGGATGAGTAAGAAGTCAAAGGCTAGGAGTTGATGTGTTGAGTGGGTAGAGTAAGTCAGCATTGAGGGATGATGTGTGGAGTAAGTAAAGTAAAATTTAAAGGCTAGGGGTTGATATGTGGAGGTGGTGAGCAAGTCAACGTGAGGGTGATGTATAGGTGGGTGAGTATTAAAGTCAACAGTGAGGGTTGATGTGTGGGAGTTGGTGAGTAAGTCAAGAATTTCTGGACTGATGTGTGGAAGCCGAGGTGATGTGTGGAGTAGGGTCAAGCTAAGGTTATTATGCTGGAGTGATGGTGGAAGTAAGTCAAGAGCTAGGGGTGATGTGTGGAGTGGGTGGAAGTAAGTCTTGTGAGGGTGATGTGTGGAAGTGGATGATAGAGTAAGTCAAGGCTGGGGTTGATGTGTGGAGTAGGTGGAAGTAGGAGAAGTCAAGGCTAGGGTTGATGTGTGGAGTGGAGTGAGTAAGTCAAAGGGGCTGGACTGATGTGTGGAGTGAGAATGAGAGTAAGTCAAAGGCTAGAAGGTTGATAATGTGGTGTAAGTGAAGTAAGTCAAGGCTAGGGGTGAGTGTGTGGAGTGGGTGAGTAAAGTCAAAGCTGGACTGATGTGTGGAGTGGGTGAGTAAGTCAAAGTTGGAATTAATGTGTGGAGTGGGTGATAGAAGTCAAGCATGAGAGGTGATGTGTGGAGTGGATATAGGTAAGTCAAGAACTGGACTGATGTGTGTGGAGTAGGTGGAAGTAAGAAGTCAAGGCTGGGGTTGATATGTGGAGTGGGTGAGCAAGTCAACGTGAGGGGTGATGTATGGAGTGGGTGAGTAAAAGTCAGCAGGGGTTGATGTGTGGGTGGTAGAGTAAGGAGTCAAGGCTGGACTGATGTGGTGGAGTGGGTGAGTTAGTCAAGCTAGGGTTGATGCTGGGTGGGTGAGTAAGTCAGCAGCTAGAGAGTGATATTATTAGATTAGATTGAGTAAGAATCCAACGTGAGGGGTGATGTGTGGGTGAGAAAGTCCAGCGTGAGGGGTGTGTGGGTGGATGGAGTAAGTCAAGGCTGGGGTTGATGTGTTGAGTTGGTGAGAGTAAGTCCAGCGATGAGGGGGCATTATGTGGGTGGATGGTGATCAGGCTGAGTCGATTTATTAGGTGGTGATGTTAAAGCACGTGAGGGGTGATAATGTGGACTAGGTGAGTCGAGAAAGTTTTCAAACATTATGCTATACAGCATATGGTTTTAGTAATAGTTCATAAATGTCTTTCAAACTAATGCCAGTAACATTATTGTTTTGCTGCTGGTTGTGAGAGCACTGCTCAAACAGCATATAGTGTTAACCTACTGCTGAGAATAAATCATTATTTTAATAGCCTTCAAGGTCCATGACATCAACCAACACCGGTGTGAACCATGTGAAGGTATCACCTTGTTTAAGTGCACTTCCCAGTTGAAACATAAGCAGGGTTTTGACCAGTACAAGGTAATATATGCTGGTATAATCATCATAAGTTGCAATGTATGTTACATCACATGTGATGGTTGGTGGCATAATGTTATGTTGATTAGGAACGATAAAAGTTACTGAATGACTGGCTGGGTTACATTCGTCCATTTATGAAATTTTTGTGACATGATCTGGGGCGTGTACATGAATATACGCATCGCGCATGTTGTTAACTTTAGCTGCAATGCTCCGGCGGGGGACACACTAGTACGACTGACGCACGACGACTGGTGTAAAACATTCCCCTCAAAATGGTGACTGTGTCAAGATTGTAGCCTTGCAGGTATGTAACAACCATTACAAGAAACCTGGATCTACCTAAAGGCTTTAAAAGTACATTGAACATTAATGTAAACAAATTGAGGCCGGTTAGTACCGATTAGGTGGAACATGTTGCGACGAACTGTGTGACTGTGACAGTTGTGTTTGTTGGGGTTGTGACAGACCAAAATGCTTATACAGTGCAGGGCAGGGCAGATAAATTCGCCAACGGCACAGTTAAAGAATTCTGAGAGGCGCTATATTTTAAATTTTATGAAATAAAATTGCTAATTTAACGCCTTGTTTTACTGTAGAAGTGCGGTTTCAAGGCAGGTTGAGCGGCAGCACGGGCATGGCTGGTAAACTGGACCAGCTGTACTATACAGAGTTATGTCCCCGCATGTTTGTAAGATCTGGTTGAGTTTCACAATTCTGCTGTTTTCCAAGAAAACCAGCAGGCTATGGTATAAGTGCAGAAGGGATGAAACACAGGTTATTAAAGACGATGCGGTATCAAGACAAACCAAGACACATTCGAATTGAACATTCAGGCTTTCTCTCATGTACGGGGCGGTCAGGTTGTCGGCTGGGATGGGAAGAGGGTGACACACTTCAAAAGGATTATTGGACGTGAAACGTTCATTGTTATGGTGAACATTGCTGTTTTGGTGCTATTTATCACTGATGTTTCTACTAGTAATTGCCCCAGTTCAGATGTGACTTTGCTGCGCATTTGTACAAGCACAGCATTCTACCATGACTATGAGTCGACCAGGTTTCACTTTATGTGTATACCTCTTTGGATACCTCTAAGAAATGTTATTACATACACCCTCGTGCGATGTTGCCGTTAAGCTACCACTGTGGAATGTTTTTGTTGAAAGGTACTGGCGGGCAACTCTTGTTCGATTCACCCGAGACACGACAAAGTTCCTTCTAGTTGTCACCACAACAAGTCAAGTATATACTTACTATGAACATGGTAGCAAAGGGGCACTGGTTGTTAAAAATGATGCCCAATATTGTCATAATCGTCCATATCCACAAGCTCAGCACCTTTTCAACCTTCTTCTTAGCAGCAATTATAATTGGAAACTGTGTTGCCGCTCCCAAGAACAGTAAAAGTATTTCACCCAAATGCATCGGGGTTAGGAGCAGCTTCAACCCAACCCATGCCCAATAAGTAGAGAGCAGTGCGCGGAGTTAGGTGTAGTGCTTTGCTGACATTTTATGTCTCCCCATTCCGTGGTATAGCAGTGATCACTGGACATCTGGTTGAGACTTGAACCACCATGATATAGCTAGAATACTGCTGGGTGCGTATTTAACAAAAACAAACGGCAAAGTATTTGGACATGGCGGATACTTAGATGCACTGATCTCTTTCAATTGATGCAACTTTTTATAACGAAGTAATACATGGCTGTGTGAATTATTGTTAATAATAGACATTTCATTGAAATAAGATGTTATGGTAAGTTTATTCCTCTGCCCTGAGAAAAGAGTTTACCACAGGAAAAAGGGCCGGGTGTAGATGTTAACCATTGTTTGAATATGTAATTTTTCCGTACCTTCGCTGCTAATGAAACTTGATAGTTTGTGTATTTCCCAGTGGCAGGCAGATGTTTAGAGACCAGTTGAACAATAAATTGAAAGCGTTCCCTCACAATGTCACCTGTAAAACAGGTCATGCCTTCAGGGCCTTGGAAATGAGACTCTTGCCGATATGTTGGCTTTGGTGTTAGCCATACTTGCTCAGAAAGCAGGTAAGTGCAGACACTGGAATCCAGTATAAGTGTTGACCCAGAGCCTAATGTGTGTTTTAAGAATAAGTGTTGACTAAAGCACAATATTGTGTTTTAGAATAAGTATTGACCAAAGCCTAATGTGTTTAAGTGTTGACCAAGAAGCTAATGTGTGTTTAGAATGGTGAACCAAGTACATAACGTCAGTAATGGCATTTGAGCATCTGTAAAGAAATTCCACATGAATAGCTCTAAGTTCATCACTGCAATTGTGCGTCCCGAACTTTGAACATTGGTACGAACGTTAAGTTGCTCTTTGGTGCGGTGAATATATATTGTGATCTAGTGTTTTTGAACAAAAATTGAGTCCAGATTTGATATGCTGCGAAAGTAATAGACCAAATATTGCATTAGTATAAGCCCGGTACCAAATGGGGTGGTATTTCAGTGGAGCATTGTTATCAGATGTGGTCATGCGAATGTAATTAGTGCTTGGCAATAATTTGCGACATGCTGATATGAATCCTCATAACATTATTCCTGATATGCAGTATTTTGTTTTATAAGCATTAATTGTTTGGTATGCTTCCCACCGGTACCCGTGAAGGTCGAGGGTTGGAATATTGATCTTCAACAGCCATTCTTATTTGGCAAGGCGACTAAGGGATGGTTAGTCAGACTCACTGACTTGGTTGACTTTGTATGTGGATTCCCCGACCCAGGTGGGTATAATGCTGACTGATGCTGGATTTATGCGGTTGACCGTTGTTTGGGGCGCCGCAAGCTGGAATATTTGCTGAAGTCGCGACAAGACTAAACTCACTCACTCCGCCTTGCCTGGATGGGCGAACACCAGTGGGTAGAACCTCTTTGGTTTCAGCTAAACACAGTTTAAATGAAATAAAAAGATTGCTTGTGTTTACCATGCCTTGTGCTGAGCATCAATGGGATAAAACAAAGCCATTAGGATACTGTGTCTGATCAATTATTCATGTGGAACTGCAATACTATCATTAAAATTTTTACACAGTTCACTATTTGTTCTGAGGAGGACTGCAAAGGAAGAACAGCCAGCACAAGTGCAGGCAAGTCATTGATTGGCTAACTTGTCCTGTGCTGTCTCCATCCTTTCTCGCACACCTGGCTGTTCCTCTCTTGCACCTCTCATGCTGGAAATAGTGAACAGTGTCTAAGCTAATGATGATTTTAATTAAACTCTTTCCATTTTAGGACATAGGTGCAAAATCACAGGATTGGTCTGATGTTTGATTATAATTACGGTACTGTTTATTAGCTTTTGAGGTGGGTGCATTTGTGATTCCCGATTTAGAGCCAAAGCGGACTGGTAGAACACTCATGGACACGGCGCGAAGGCGTCTCAGACGCACCCTGTTTGGTGCATCAACGCTGACTAGACCTGACATGATATCACATGATATTTTCAAGAAACTCAATATGTTCGCAAATTCTTACTTTGCGATGGTTGCAGCGATCCCAGAAAAAGGACATCAGGTGAGATGTATGAAAACATTCACCGAACGGGGACATGTCTTTCATATGTTCTGGGCTGATGTGACATTTCTTTGGTCGTGGCAAGAAAGAAAGTGACCGCCACCAATGTATTATTGACGGAATGCCGCTACGGAAGAAGTTAAATCCCGAAGTCGCGGCATATCTAAGTCTTTCTCGAAGGGAACAACATATTTGACAGGGCAAGTTCGTGGAGACCATTAACGCTTCTGCAGCTCTGACAATGATAACATCACCAAGCTCCGTTCCTGACTTCGAGGACGATGACAGTGGCCCGATTAGCGAATCGACCATGCTACAAAGTGGTGGTGATTCTGCGGTACCTGGTGCCAGCATGCCATGGAATGCTGCGCAGTTCTAGAAATCATCCTTCTATTCACTGTTTTTCTTTAAGAGCTAAGATTAATTTTAACCTTTCAAACTACAATCAGCCAGCGCCGCGGTGGGTGGTATCCAACTTTTAGTGTACTGCAAAAATGCGGAAAGGGATGCATATTGCACCTGAACATGTCGTTTTCAAGACTGAACTGTACTGGCATGACTGGCATCAGAAATAACAGATCAGCGTTATGCTGGTACATTGAGCGTTGACGTTGCTCATGTTGAAATATCCTGTAGGGACATCAAGAAATCGACTTCCACACATTGTGCCATGTGAACCTGTATTGAGCAAATTTTTACCACTAAAATAGCCATCTTCGACACCAGAACATGGGAGATTACCTCCATGGTGCTATATTTAATGGTCATCAGGTGGTTTGTTTTGATTTCATGAACCGCTTTCAATTGAGGTATTAACCAACTTCGGCGCGTTAAATGTCACTGTTTATGTGGCAGGGCTAAGTACTACGCTTTAGTAATGAGGATATAGAGACTACGTAATTTTATTGCGCATGCCTGAAGCGTGATGAGCTGGTGTTGGGAGACATGTGGAGGATGCTGAGTATCTGTGGAGAGGATGAAAGGACTGGTGTTTTTCGGTGGGGATGGCGCGAATTTTCTCAAAGATGTTATCAGCTGTATCGACCCAAACTCATGAGTATGACATGATCCTCATCGGCGAGAACAAAGTTACGGCGCAGAGGCATTTTACGGTTATGTTACCATCATATTCTTAAACTTATCCTATCTCCACGATTTGCAATTCTCTCTTCGACACTTAATTAGGACCGAATAGGCTTTTCCTGTAGGCCTCTCTTGTCCATCGCCATTGTTTCACTGACTCCGCTTTTGGGACTGGTCCCTGAGTCCGGCTAAGCGTTACGCTTGCATGTTCCCTAATCTACGTGACTACCTCAGGTGGCATGCTTTCACAATATTGGACAGTAGCGGAAAAGTTCTCATCGTTCTATGAAGCGTCGAAACAAAATTTTTAAAATCAGCAGGATAGGATAAGTATATAGTGCCGTTTTATATTAAAAATTTTCAATATTGTCTATGTCATAACAGAAATACGGTTGTGTTGCGGGGTTGTTCTCTCCATTTTAGATGGAGCTTGTTTGAGAGACCAGTATGTAAACTCTGTTTTCATTGTTGACAAGTATTTAGATTTGAATAATATTTCTCCTCGTTTAATGCGGTGATTACGGCAAACCATGAACATCGCAAATTAAGATCAAACACAGACCAGATCCTGGTGGGAGATCCGCGTCAACAGATACTTCCGTGGTGCGGTCGTACTGGCAAGATCACTATCACGCATTCTACTCGGGTAAATCGGCTGGCATGCGATACGCTTGCTGGATGGAATCGGTTGACATGTCTTTTACATTCTACTAACGCTCAGACCGTCGGCTGATAACTGTAACACGCGTGCCAGATGGTCGGCGACTGTAACGCTACTCGGGTAAAATAGGCTGATAACTGTAACACGTTCTGCTGCTCCAGGTGATCGGCTGATGGCTCTATCACGTTCTGCAGCGCGGGTCGGTTGATAACATTTTTGCGTTCCGGTTGAAATTGGCTGATAAGCTGTAACACATATTACGCGGAACTGGTGTTTGGTCGGACTAAGTGAATGTATGTGTTTTAGTCTTTCAGATTTGGTCGAGATAGCCCAGGTTGCTGCAGAAGCTGTCTCGAGGGTGAACAGAGACAGCGGTAGGGCCCGCGACAAACCAGATTACGCTGCTGTGCGTCACAGAACTGAAATGAAAGATAACCTCCAGTCATTACGATCAGAAAGTATCCAGTAGAAGCGCTATTACAGGAACATTACAGAATATTGGAATGTAACGGTGCCGTGGGCTAAAGATTGCAATAGGGTCCGAAGTTATGGTGGTAACTGAGCTGTGAATTTTGTTGTGTTAGCTGCTCTATGGCATTTCAAAGGGAAGGCAATTTATTATCGCTTCGCGAACAGGGGAACCATGTTCAGCGTAATCCGATGGTCCGTCGTACGTTCGCGATTAGCGGTATGCGGAACTGCTGTATGCAATGCCGGAATTTGGTGATAACCGTGGGGGATTATTACGGCGAAGACACCAGTGTATTTAGACGCTGACCTTTTAAAAGGTCACCAGACATGACCACTTTTCAAACTGTTGATGCGTGATATCCCATGCACTGTTGTCAATATCTTCAAGTTGGTGACCTACATTGGGTGATTATACGAACACCGATCATTCAGGCATCGCGCGGGCCGAAACCGCCAGTAGTCGTATGAATATTCCATTCTTTAGCGGGCGTACGCTATCAGTGTGAAACCGCCGGTGAAATACTGTCATTACGAATCATTATATTATTGACTGGGTCTCAAATTCCTGTACAGTTTTGCCGGTGCTGGAGCGGGGATATTGAAATGGGCTGATATTTTGTAGTATTTTAACCATGCCGTGCTGGGGATTGATCGCGGGGCATGCCGTACATTTTACCATTGGCTGAAAATCATCCGTAGTTGTATCAAATGTTTTAAATAAAATGTTGGCCCGCAGTCAATAAAATCTTTATCTATTATCGACACCGTGGGTGCAAACCAGGTAAGCACCTGGGCGTAGGCCGGCTGCTTTCGCTCGACGTTCTGCGATGTTACAGCCTGAGGTTGATCGGTTGCGCTTTGTGTAGAAGAATGTCACGGGGACTTCAACATGGTCTTTATTGGTTACGCCAAGACAAGGAACGTTTGACGACTTTGCAGTCTGTTATTATTTTCCTTATGCGGCAATGCTCTTTCTTCGCTGGGAACATAGTGCGTTTTATCTCCTTGTTTGTTTTCCGCTGTCAAAATCACTGGTGGTACTCACCGCAGGTTGCTCCCCTTGTCTCCGGCGGAAGGGTGCCATGCCCTCCTGGCCATGCTCGCTCTCAACTGCAGCTGGTAGGCAGGATGTGAGGCGCCTTGTCCTTGCGGGGGAGGGAGGGGAGGGAGGGAGGGAGGGAGGGAGGGGGAGGGGAGGGAGGGAGGGGAGGGAGGGAGGGAGGGGGGAG